CTTTCGCTCTCCATTAATTTCTGTTTCAAAACCGTCAACGCCATCTCTCAATAAAAAATATCTCCAACTCCTGGAAATCCCGATAAAACAGTAATTTTCCATTACCATAAATCCCCATCCGAAAATAAACAATAAATAATTATAAATATCATAAACAATTTATTGAACCCATCAATAAAATCATAAATAGTTCCAAATAATCATATAAACCGTCACATTCATTCGCATATTATATTTTCTCTACAATTAAATATTCACACAAATAGGAAATTCCCAGAATTTCCCCATAAAAATTAAATTAAGAGAACATTTGAGACAGATTTTTCTTCTGCGCTGTCTCCTTGTCCTTAATTGCACTAAAAAACGTCTGAATTTCATTTTCAACAGTAGATTTGAGTGTTGGATCGAGTTCCACAACTCTTCTCAAGTCCTCAAGGGCTTCTTTTTCATTCCAGGCCCCTACGTGGGCCTTTCCTCGCCTGTACAGGGCCTTAACATTATCTAAAATCCCAGAAATAATTTACAATAATTATTCTGCCCATTACCTCATCCTTTCTTCACTCCAATAATTTTTTTTGCAAGTGGTTTCATTAATTCCACCCCGAATTACCTGGATCTATTTTCAATACTGATGTGCAATGTTCAATCACTGCGTAATACTCTTTTTTCAGTAATTTACATTGCGCGAAGTTTAAGAGGAGAGGAATTTTCATTCTGTTTAGAGTTGTCCAGTCCTCGTCGTGTGGTTTTTCACTGAAAAAAAAAATAATTAAAGGTGAAAAATTGATAATTGGAAAAATTACATCTCAATTAATTAATTATAATCACACCTCAGCATTAATTGCTCGAGCATTCCAATGGCAGTCGCGTAATTCTCGGCAGCTCCTTCATAATTTTTATCTCTGAATTTTTCGTTTCCCTTTTCCTTCAGCAAAGGCACATTTTTTAGTTTCTCGTCTTCAGTCATTTGCCAGGATTCTTTCTCGTAGCCACTTGGAGGAACGACTTCAATTAATTCTGAAACGATAGGAAGTTGGAGAAAATTTATCAGGTGGAGGGGAAAATGTTGGAGAAGTGGAAGTTTAATTAATAATTAATGGAATATTTATCGAGATATGGCAGACCTATGATAAATTCCAGATCCTCGCAGTTTTTTATTAAATCATTTAGATCAGGATATCCTATCCCTTCATTTTGCAGTGTCACCCCGCAGCAGTGGCTGTTGATTTTTTCATTTTTGGGTTTTCCAAATTCCCTGAGAGTCTTGGAAACAAATGGATACGATGACACTAGCTACGACAATCGAAACAGAATTTTATGTTCAACAATCAGACTTTTCATTGCTCGTAAATAATTTTTATTCAATCAATCGATATTTTTTTAGGAAATTTATAACTCACACTTTTATCAACCCTGAATTTACTGATTTCGTTGAGGGACATCTTCTGGACGATCGCCTCCCAGACTTCCAATTTAAATTTCTTTCCAAGAACCAGTTCCATCGGTCTTCCTATTTTTTTACTGTCATCAACAACTGCTCCATCGAGTTTCATCGTTCGAAAATGAAAGAAAACCTGTGACAAGAATAAAATAATAAAAAAATTCTCCGATATTTCGATAATTCAAAATATAAGAAATGAAAAAAAAATGAATTTACCTTAGATCCAGGGAGAAAATCCACGGATTTCGTTCCAGCGTGCAAAATATTTTTGACAATCAGCTGTCGATCGCTTTCTTCCATTTTTCAAATTGAAGATTTATTTTATCAACTCTACAATTGAACAATTAGAATATGACAATAAAAATATATCAGGACAACACCAGGGACCCTCTTCAAATCAATAAACAATTTTTTGGTTATGAAGGGATAAATAACCAAGCCTAAACTGACATCCAATCACCTGACGTGAATCCCCTGCCACGAGAGGTACAATAAATAAATAAAATTAAATAAATTTCACACGTCAACCCAAATAATTAATTAATCAATTAAAATTCCCGATCTCCCGTACAATAATTTATTATATAAATAATAAAATCGTCATTTGTTTAACAATAATCTACCATTTTGTTTACACATATTTATGAGATCTAATGACTTTTTGCAATAAATTTTTTGTCATTACGATGATTATCGATTTTTTAATTGCATTATCGATCTGTTAATCTATCCTTTTCGATATCATTGATATTCGATTATTTATTTTCTAGGTTAACGTACCGTTTGGAGATATATTGTTTAAAATTGAGCAAATCATCATGGAGACGGGAAATAATGAACAAATTGGTGAGAATTTCGTGATTATTCCGTGATTTCACAAAAAATCTCGAGAAATCCTCGAGTCTGAAAGTTTATCCTCCAAAACCCCTGAATTTGTTAATAACAAATTATTGTATTGAATGATTTAAAAAATTTTACGAACAAGTGATAATTTAATTGTTAAGGAGTCGTTAATAAATTCATTGGAATATTCGACTGGACGTCGAGGAATTCACCAGAAGTCGCTGGAAATATAAATATTTATTAAATATTGAATATTACAGTTTTATTTTACTAAAATAATTATTTAATTCTTTTTTTTGTTCTTCAGAACCAGAGGAGATTAAAATTCCAGTGCCTTGGGGTCACGTTAGCGGTGAGAAATTGATTAACAAATAAAATAAATAAATGAAATAATTAAAAATAAACGGAATGATATAATGAAATGTAAACAAATAGAATAATTGAACAAATGTAATTTTTTTTTAACAGGAAAATGGTGGGGTCCCAAATTCATTCAGCCTGTTGTAACATTACATGGCCGTGAAGATAATTCCGGGAGTTTTGATACGCTAATGCCAAAATTATGTAAAAATCAATCATATTTGTGTCTGGATCTGCCCGGTCATGGTCTCTCATCGCATCTCCATGAAGGCCAGTACTATTTCGTTTATTGGCAAGGTGTTATGTTGCTGCGCAGGGTCGTCAGACATTTCCAGTGGAACAAGGTCAAACAATAAAAATCATTGTCTTCACAAAAATGCACTTGATGCTTGCACTTAAATTTTTATCAGAATATGGGGCACTCAATATTTTTTTTCCAACACCTCAAGCAATTATTTCTCTGATTGCATTCCTGAATAAAATTTATTTATTTAAAAAATTATTTGCAGGTGAAGATTATGGGGCACTCCATGGGGGGTGCTATTGGATTTTTGTACGCGGCGTCCTATCCAAAAGATGTTGAAGTCCTGATTTGTCTGGATATTGCCGGTCCCTTGGTGCGAGATGACTTCAGGTGCGTTGAAATGGCTGGAGATCAGATCGACAAGTGTCTGGCGTACGAAAAATCTGATGCGACGAATCGTCCGACCTATGACTACGACAGCATGATTGATATAGTCGAGGATGCGTATAAAGGTTCGATTACGAGAGCTGGTGCTGAAATCCTCCTGAAGAGAGGATCACAGCCTTCCCCGATCCCCGGGCAATATTATTTCACGAGGGATCCAAGGCTGAAGGTAATTTTTTCACGAATCGGCGATAGAAAAAAAAATTGGCGACTGTTAGAAATTATTCTACATCTTTAATTCCTTTGGACTTACGTTCCCTTTCGTGTTTTAGCGTGAGAATAATTCTTTCTGTGGAAATATTGATTTTTTGAATTATTTTTAGGTATCTTATTTGGGGAATTTTAATGGGGAGCTGCTCAAGGCGTTCGCCGAGAAAATTACGTGTGCTTATCTCAATATTAAAGCTGATAAAGGTTCCAGGAATGATGGTAAAGGGCGATATCCCGATATCCTTGATACCATTAAAAAATCTGCAGATAAATTCGAATATCATGAATTCGAAGGGACTCACCACATGCATCTGAATGATCCAGAGACCGTAGCTCCCGTAATAATGAATTTTTTAAAATCCCTCATGAAAAATAATTCATGATTCCTCCATTATTATGAATTATTGCATTTATTCGAAATCATTATTTTTTATTGAAAAAATCAATAATAAAAACGCGCATGAATGAAAAATGAAAATCTCAAATTACAAGATTAATTTAATTTAAAAATCGACATGAAAAATTTGAAGCTTCAAGAGGAGAAAGTTTTAATAGAAGAGAAATTTATGATCAATCGGGTCACACGTAATAATCCATATTTATCCTCCTGATAATTAAAAATTTTTTGATTACGATTATTTCATGACGTTTTCAAGTCAGAGATTTGATTTTTCTTTGGATTGGATTGAACTTAGCGGAAATATTGAATATTACACAGAGAATAAAACAAAGTTGTTTGTCTTGGCGATTGTTTCTCCCGTTTATTGGCGTTGATAAAGAGAACATAAGTACATGAATGGCCTCCGGAGGCAGAAAATTACGACTTGTCCCGATTGTCTATGGGTCTTATGCAATAAGGCGTGACCTAGAAAATAAAAGAATAATGAAGATATCACCGAGCACTGGCTTTGCGTCATTTATTTCCGTGATATTTTACGGAAACACTTGGGTCGTTTTTTATTCAATTTTTCAGTCCGACTCACGACGAAGAAATTCTGGAAACAATTTCCCTTCTGCAGGTGTTGGAGATTCAGATCAATATTGAATAAATAAAATCTTCAGTGGAACAAAACAAGTTTTTCATTTCTACCTCGAGAACTATTTCAGATAAATCCATTTGTTTAGTGTGAAATCATAAAAAAAAATTGGTAAAACCAGAAGAAGCCTTGGATTGCTTTTTTAATCTTTATGCATTATTTTTTCAGGAGGTTTTTTTTTTTCTGGGACGGGGAATAATCGCTGACGATTTTTTGAATATTGGGATTATTCCTCTTTTCTTTTGGATTGAGGAATGATAATTATTTATTATTGTTATAGAGGACCAGAAAATAGTTCGAATTATTTTATTAATTATTTCCCAATGTCATCAGTAATATTATATACTCATTTGAATATTCATTAAAGAAGAATTATTAAGAAAATTGATATGTTATCATGAAATAAATTGCGTGCAAAAATATTTTTACAATCTCATGATAAATGAGATATCAAATTCCAAAAATTTCCCGCTCTCACGATTTTTTACGTTAAAATTCCGTAAAATTCCCCTCAAAATCCAAATTCGAAAAATAATTTATGTGGAATATTTCTGTGCGTCCAGCAATCTAGAAAAAAAACCTGTCCTTTTGAAAGTCAGACAAATGAAACAAAGAAATTAAAAAAATAAAATTCGTGCTCCCGAGACGTCATGAGAGATGAACAGAAAATTCAGTATTTGAACAGTTGAAAAAAAAAGGCCGAAAAATTATTTAGACTCTATTTGAACAGTTGCCACTGCCGAAGAAGAAATGAATTCATCCGATAAAAATTTAATACATTAACAAATTTTCATCATGAAAATACAATTCAGTCTGCATTTGGATATTCTACGTGTCACTCGGCTGATGCGGTACAAGAACAATCATCCAATCAGATAAAAAAAAAAACATGAGCACGAAAATTCATTGGTTTTTACCTGCAGTTCCTCTTTATCACTAAAGACGAGAAATAAAAAGGAAAAAGAAGTACGTGTCCATATCGTGAGGACACGTCGGTGGAAATAAAAAGGAAAAAAAAATGGGTGTAATAATTTGTGGCGATACAGACTGAAAATGCATACACCGGGGGAATGCATTATCATTAACTTGCCAAGCTACCGAGTAAAAAGAAGACAATGCAGGTGAGTTCTTCAGCATTTATTCACCATCGAATATTCATTTTATCCCTCTTAATCACTCGATATTAATTTCTCATTTTATTTTCTCCCACATTCAAATTAAACCCCAAATTTTCGTTTTAAAAATTTCCCAAACCGTTGTTATCCCTCAGTTTTTTTTTCTTATCCATTTATTTTAATTTCCGAATAAATTTCAGATAAAATCCTCTCGACGTTTTGATTTGTGGATAATTATTTGTGACTCGAGGCAATTGTGTGTGGAATGAAATTAAATCGATGGGTTTTTATAATTTTTTTATCCTCCGGATTTAATTGATTTAAACAATTGTTTCGGATTTTTGGATTGAAATGAAAAACTTCAATAAATATTTCACTCGATTCAAATAATTTTTCTTGACGTCAGAGCGTCAATCAGTGAAAAAATAAGTAATTGTCGAGGAAATGAAAACATATCTTTGGATTTGAATTGCAGAATTGGAGACACGAGTCGCCATCGTCTAGAGTACATACGACAAAATGAAAGCCATTGCTGATGTGAGTGGCGGTTGTTTGTTCTGATACATCGGGCCCAGCGTTCAACAAACTTTATTAATTAATTAAGTTTGTTCGTTCGGCTCGAGTTATCAGATCGATCTCAAATCATCTACTTCCTCAGTGATGCACGATAAGACTGGATATGTTGACGCAGCTCTTGATCTGTTGGTGAGAATGATGTCAGAGTTCTCAGTCTAGCTTTTGACATCTCCAAGTCCTGAAATCATTCGCTGAATTTATTTCCATTTGTAAATATTCATCAGAAATTACAGAACCATTAAATTCCATTTCATTCCAGCTCCGAAGAAAAATATGGAAGTAATAAACATGTCTTCCCTGGTGCAATTACTGGTGTAATTATTTAATTATCATTTTATTTTATTTTATTGTTTATCAAACCGTGAATTACTGTGAGTACATTTTTTTCACCGTTTGTTTTCAGTGGATATCTCGGAACTGAAGGGAGATATTGAAATTTTTATAGAGTCCTTTCTTGTAGCTCTCATTTTTCCTCAAAGAAAATGTTTCAACGAAAAAATTGCTATCGCCGTTGAATTCTGAGATATTGAAGGGAGAATATTCGGTTCGTTGATTTGGTGAATTGAATTTTGAGATGTGATTGTGAAAAAATGAGATGAGATGATGTTTTACCTTCAAAAATTGTGAGTTCCGGGATTCTGGGTGATCGTTTACGGAGATCGTTGATCTTGAGGAGTTTCTCGGGCCTGAGGGCTGTCGACACGTCATTATTCCGCGCTGGGATTCCCTGAAAGCACCAAAAATCAACACCAACTTCAATAGAAATAACAATAAACAATATCCTACAATTTTTTCAATTGCTCTGTGGTTTTCTCCTCCTCTTTCCTGTAGTTCTCTTCAACTTCCCGAATCCCTTCGATCCTCGAAGGCATGACTACGAGCGACAGGTGGTGAATTGTTTCAGTTTCCATGACGACCGATCAATTATTTCCACATGTAACTGGATAAATCCAAAATTCTAAAACCTTTCACATCCACGAAATAATAAAAATATCTTGATAATATATATCACTTTATTATAATCTAATATTATTTATTTAATTATTATTAATATTAATTTTGCCAGAAAACTTGGGAGCGGAAATTTCGAAGAAAATAAAATCAATTGCGCGTATAATTTATAACTTTAATACTTTATTCGCAATAATTATATCGATTGCATCTTGTAGAATTAACAAAATACCGGATAAATTTGTTTATCCCAACAGTTCCTCTGATGTCAACGATTTTGGCTGAAAATCCAGAAGAAAAATTGCATGAAAATAATTGCGACATGAATTTTTTTATCTGAGACTGAGAATTAAATAAATATACCATGATATAAACGTGAGTGGGAAGAGATCTCTCCAGGACTTCTGCCAGTTTACCCCTGCTGATTTTGTGCTCCTCTTCTGCAATAATTATTTATCCATTATTATTAATTAATTCTCGAAGAAGATGTTCAATTCACCTTGAGGAACGCTGAGATTGAGGGTGGGGAGGGCGACAAAACCGGCGACCAAGGGCCTGAGGATCCACTCGACTTTCCTCTCCTTCTGTGGTCTGAGGTAGATGTCCACCTGTTTCTGTCCAGCAAACATGAAAGCATCGCTGGCCTCCATCGTCATCTTGAGAGTGATCAAATAATCAGATCGATTCTTGAGGTAGTAGCTGACACACATAGGAGTCCTGACCCAGCCCTGAGCTGGGATTTTCGCCTCGATCCCCACGGGCCCTTCCTCCACCCAAAGCGGGGCCAGGGTGACACTGGTGCTCGTTTCAATCCCCTCACCATCATCCCGCCTCCACCTAATTGTGTAAACACCGGTGGATGTTGGTTGCCCTGAGGATGTCCTTGGGACAACGCAGAAGGCGTCCGTAGCGGATTCACCCTCGACGATGGTCAGACCATTGAGGAGTCCGGAAGGTCCTGGCTGCTCTCTCAGGGCGTGCCCGAGCTCCACGGAAGTCTCTGAGAAATGGTCAGAGTATTTCATTTGCCTATGGGTCATTCTCCGAAAAAAACAGACACGAATAAAATTTTGAAATTCCGATTCCGCTGATTCCTTTTTTGGATAATAGTCGGTAATGAGAGAAGCATTCATAAATTTTTCAAATATTCATCACTTCCCGAGAGTCTTACCTATAATCCTGAGTGGCCACGGAGAGGTGCATTCGATATTCGGCATGACAACGAACCCCTCATCAACGAAGGCCTTCGTCAGAGGCTCGAACAATCTGCTGTAAAATTGAGTGCCAACGTCAAAAGGTTTGACAATCTCCACAACGTGAGTCTCCTCCTTCACTCGTTTCATCTGATCATCCCCAAGGAATTCCAGTCTCACGAGGAAGTTGCGAATACCGACCTGATGAGACCTCACATAAACAGTTCTCTGAATAACCTCTCCGACAGCAACAGCCTCGACCTCAAAAGCCACTGAACTCTCCTTGCTACTCATGGTTGCACTCAACTCAGCTGCCGAATCAGAGGTGTGATCCTGGTAATTCTGTTTGATCTCGACGGAGAGCTTGAAGACGGGCTCCTTCGTCGTCACCTGAAATTTGACGGGCAGCCACTCACTCAACAGCGCAGGAGTTCTCGATGTGATATCAACAGCGAGAGGTGCCTCATCCTGTCTGATCACCGCAGTGCCAATGGTTCTGATTCCCTCGAAGCTCCCCTTACTCCCCAGCCCCTCCAGCCCCCCAGGATCACCAGGAAACTTCAAAACAACTCGTCGCTTGTCATCCCCCAACACCAGCGACACAGCCTTCACCTGAATCTCCATTCCATCAGGTACCTGAGGACTAGCAAACTCACACCTGAACCTCCGCATCTCCCCTCCATCAAACTTGAACCCCCGATCACCATCTGCATCAACAGGTACCTCAGTGCTGACTCCAAGACCCGAGATCCCAACGGATATCTTGGAAAACTCGACGCACTCCTCAAACAAGTTCTTCACAGCGACTTCAATCTCGACTTCTCCTCTAGCACTGAATCTAGGTGCTGTGAAGGAACCCTTAACCTGGAGAAAGGTCGCGACGTTCGAGTCTTCAATCGTCGAGACAAAATCATCAAGCCGACTCAACTCTGCACTCCACTTCTCGGTTGCTTCAGCAACTCCATCATCTGGCAAGCCAGGATGAGCCTCTGGTACTTGCCGATTCAAAATCCCAAGGAGATTTCTGTATATTCTCTGACGCTCATCACCTGGAAACGTTGTTCCTGGACCGAGAGCCTCGACACTCAGCGTTACGTAGTCCTGAACACTCGCATTGAGATAAGCCGCTCTCATGGCTTTCGTCAGAACATCGGTCAACAGCAACGGCCACTTCTCCGATCTGTACTCCCACAGCATGTGAGTCAGAAGAGTCAGAACTTTCCCGTAATCCCTGCAATTGTAGTATTCACCCGCCATCTGGACGGCGAGGAAGCGTCGAGTCCTGGGGCACTGGTAGATCTTGAATTGAGACATCGCATTACCCAGCAGTCCAATGATAATCATCGAGTGGTCGACGTTCTTCTCCCTCCATTTGAGGGCCTGAATCCCGAGGGCCTCTTTGAGGGCATCAGCAGATTCTGCGGACAGCTTTCCCGGTCGCCAGGGTCTCTGCCCATAGAACTCCATCTTCGCTTCTTCAGCGAGTGGATCTGGCTCGACCTTTAGGGCATTCTCACAGAGTTCCTTGGAGGCTGTCTGCCTGGCGCCTGCATGAGTCGCTGCTATCTGAAAATAATAACCCGGGTGCTGCGTCTGAACCGCAGAGAGACCCTGACGTATCGCATCGTCAAACAATTCAGCGAACGTTGAGTACTGATTCGCCATGAATGCGTAGTGCTCGAATATCAGGTCTTCAGGTCCTGTTCGAAATCGAAATCTGTCTGTGTGAACTCGGAACTGAGAGATGGCGTATTTTGGCTGATTCAGGGCAAACTGCAGCTTGCACAGTTTATAATTGATAAAAGCCCCGACTGTCTTGATCTCAAAGGTGTTGGTGTCCATCATCCTGATGTCCAGGAGAGTGTTGTACGCTTTTTTATAATGCTCAACTGCAATAGCTGGCTCTTGTCTGAGTTCATTAAGAAAAGCAATCTTGAACTGGTGCCTGACGAAAAGATACTGGTGAGTTGTTTTGTTCAGTTGATCCTTGTGGCTTTTGACTGTCCTGTGGTGGTGATGGTAGAAGCTTTGAGCGAGATCGTAGAAGGCATTCTCAAGGCGAGACGTATACCCCTGGAGATGATCACCATGAGGCAGAATGTACAGAGACTTCGGTGGTAGCTCGCAGGCTGTGCAGAGGGCAGTCGCTCGTTCCGTTGTCACGCTGTCTTCAGAGTCCGGTGGTGTCTTCTGGATCAGAACAACTGCCAATCGAGTTGAACGACCCTCCAATGAGGATCTGATTGCCTGCACTCTGGAGGCGCATTCCATTTTCTTTTCCGTCCAATTCGGGTCCGTCCAGTCTAACTCGTAAAAGCAGACCACAACTGCTGGAATTTCCCACAGGTACTTCGGCATCCAGTTACGCTTCAGGATCCCTTTTGGTATGTACCATTCGTAGGAGTTTCGTTTAGGTTTTGGAGTGGGAAAGGTTGGGCTTAGGGGAAGGTGTTTGAAGTGGACTGAGGTGTTGTCTGGACGGCGATTGCTTTGGAAGGCGTCCCAGATTGAACGGTGGGTCGTGTTTGAGAGATCTAGACCTGTGATACCGATTAGGGCTAGGGGTCTAGCCAGCAGCTCCGGTGGAAGCTCCGACATTCTTCTGAGATCACATCAATTGTGATTGAATTATTAAATTTCAGAAAAGTCGCTTTCATATTCCGATTTTTTATTGACTTTTCGTATTGGAATTCCATCAAAATCCACGAACAATTAATTAATCTTTAGAATATTTTATTAAACATAAATATTATAAAATAAAAGGGGTAATTTAACACATAATTAATTTATTAATCAATCTGGGACATAACAAATAGATAAAATATACATAAATACATCGAAATGGGAATACAAAAAAAAACATACGTTTATTTATTTATTATAAAATAATGACTTCAATAAAATTAATGCAATATTTTTTCTTTCGCTGTTAAATATATTTTAAGGTTGAATATTTGATTTCGTGAGAGAAAAGAAAATAAAATTCTGGGTTTAATCCAGTGAATTGAGACGAACCTTGAGAATTGTTGATTAAATTGTTTGTTAATAATTTTATCGATTTTTTCCAGACATTTGGAAATTTGTGATGACAGCACAACACTATGATCTTTTCACTGAGTGACAGGTTATGCTTGACGTGCCACTTGCCAGCTGACAATTCCGTCTAGTTATAATCCCTAGTAATAATTCCCTATGATATAAATAATAATAATAACAATAAGAAATCGATAAAAAGTGGGAATTTCGATTTTCTGTTATTTTTATGGCATTTAAAACTGAAATTCTGTCTTAAAGACGACAAATTCCATTGATTCATTACCTTTATTTAGTTAACAATTAACAATTATCAATAATTATTAATTTCCGGCGGCCACTGGTCCCCTGAACTGCACAAGAATCAGCAAATATGTGATGACAGTAGCAAATAACTGAAAGAGTAATTATTCTTTAGATTTCTGATGATTAAAATTTAATCGGAGTTAATAAATAATTGATTATTGATATTCTTACTGAACGCAAAAGTCGGCAATCCAGGGAAAAAAGTCCACATGCCTGAATGCTGATTTTTCTGTGCATCAATTCAATAGCAAAATTATTTAATTCACATTCAATCTCTTTGTTTGATCCATAAACTTCCGTTATATCATAAATAACAGCAGCAGTTCGCTCCCCCTGAAAATGATAATGAATATAATTACAAATGATTGAGGTATTGCAGGAAAAAAAAATAGGTTATCTCCAGAATAATATGCACCTCTTCCTGGAGCTCATGAACACTTGCACTCAATACGACAATCGGAAAGATAGCAGTAAGAATCCAAAAAGTGGAATCAACGAGGACCTCAGCCTTGACCGTGGCCCTCACCGGAGTAATCATGCTCATGACAACGAAATAAATATTATAAACGGACGAGCAGCAGCAATAAAAAATAGCAACAAAAGCTGGGAATGAATGGAGATGAGAAACCTCGTGATAGACTTTGTAAATTCGACTCCTCGCTTGCCTGATCACCAGGAGATTCTCGACAATCATACGAACACTGAAAGCACTTCTCACTCCATTCTCCATTAAAATAGAATGAGTTGCTGTTGCAAGAAGTGCATCATTGAGTCCTTGGAACCGATTTTTTATTCCACTGATGATCAAGCTGTACTGGACCAGCAACCAACTGACGGACAGCTGACTGAGACCAACAACGATGATATAAATTATTCCCTGGGAGTAATAATGATCGATCATTCCCATCACCAATACTCCAACCCAGATGATCATGATCGTTGCAATCCTGGTGATCGTTGATAGATAATCCACCACATTAATGCGTCTTCCGATCAATTTCGCGCCGAATCTCCCATCAAACTTCTCCAATTGATCACCAACTCTGATTATGTCCCCCTGGATGATCAGGTAGTAGATGATTATCACGATAACCATCAAGTTTCCCATTACCCCAAGGACTATCGTTATAGTATTCATCATCGATGAGTTATTGGGGTATGGCAGGGTCTTCAGATAAGGTGTGCCGATAATTATTATTCCTGTGTACATCAGCAACAGGAAAAAGCTGTACGCAGATTTCAATCGTGAATTTGATAATGAGAATATCAAACCGATCGGAGGATCTGATCTAGGTGATATTGTCAATCTCCAAGGCGCCAAGCCGAGGAAAGATGATGTTAGGTGGGATATTTGGAAGACGATTGTCAGAATTCTTTCAACCCGCATTTTTGACTTCATTCTGCTGAAGGTTCGGCCTCAGTGATGCCCTCGACTGCTGGAGTTCTTGAAATATGCAAAACCCTAATGGATGAATATTTTTATCGGTGAGGGGATCAGAAGAAAAATTGTTCAATATATTTTTTAAAGACTTCTCTCGAATTTTACTATTTCAATTTAACGATTTCCTGGAGTTCTGGGGAATATTTGAACATTAAATCGCTCCCAAGTCGCGTTTTTTGTTTAAATAAATTGTTTATTCCAATTTAAAATTCTGGAATACAGCAGACATAATGGTTTCCGGTTATTTTCAGTTGATTCGTGCTGACAGATCGATCGTTCGGAACAGTTAACCTGAAAGCAGTGATTTCGTAAAGAGGGGCAATTTACGGATTTGAACTATCGATTTTTGGTATCTGAGCACTCAGAAATTGCCATGGACATTATTTCTCCTGAAGATCGGCCGGTGTGAGTGAAACAAAAGATCGAATTGATTGGAACGATCGGTTAATCATTTATTTGGGCTGTTGTCCGGTGCCTTGAACTGCAGGACGATCAACAAATAAGTCATGACTGTTCCAAATATCTGAAAGAACGAATGAAAAATGAAGAATCAATCGCGAACAAGATGAACCGATAGCTTACCGATCGTAACAGTGTGCAGTCCAAGGAGATGAATCCGCAGGTGTTGAAATAAATTTTTTTGTGGAGCAATTCAATAGCTAGGGTGTTCAATTCAGACTCGATCTCTCTGTTCGGTGCGTACATCTCCATGATATCATAAACAACAACAGCTGTTCGATCTGCCTGAAGAAAAAATCATGAAGACAATTACGACAAAAAGAAGAAGAGATGATACATACTTCGGCCTGAAATCGGTTGACACTTGCGCTGAGGACAACAATGGGATACGAAGCGGAAAGGGTCCAAAAGATGGAATCAAGGAAGATCTGACCTTTGTCACTAGCACTGGTTGTCGGTCTGATGAGACTCAAAATACAGAAATACATGTCGCAGACACAGCAGCTGCAGCAGTAAGCGATAACGATCAGGACCGGAAAAGAGTAGTACCTCGAGACTTCCTGGAAGACCTTGTAAATTCGATTCCTCGCTTGTCTGATCATCATCAGATTGTCAATAGCCAGGCGCTCGGTTGAGGTACATCTCGGTGATATTGCACCGGCCTCCAGGATATTTGGACAGATAGCTGTGTCAAGGAGAGCAGCATTGAGCCCTCGAAACCGATCTTTGAGGACATTGATGACAACGCTGTACTGGACCAACAGCCAACCGCAGAAGACTTCATTGAGACCGCACGTCGTTAGATAGATGATCCCATTCTGGGTAATCATTTGCATGATCACTAGGCCTGTCCAGATGATCAGCATCAGGGCGATTGTGATGAAGGTCGGAAGGAAGTCCAGGATATCGGCACTTCTACCGGACAGTCTGGCAAATCTCTCATCAAAATCGTGCAGCTGATCACCGATTCTGATGATGTTCCTCCGCAGGATCAAGTAGAAGAGGATCATCACGATGACTATCGAATTACCGATTCCTGAAAGGACTACTGTAATTATTCTCATCGTTGATGAATCATTCGGGTACAGCAATTCGTTCAGACAAGGTGTGCCAACAGCTGTTATTCCGATGTAAAGGATCATCAGGAGAAGACTGTACCCACATTTTAGGCGGGAATTTGAAAAAACGAATGTAAATCCGATTGCAGGGGCTGATCGTCGTGATATTTTTATTCTGCAAGGTGATAAACCCAGGACTGATGATATCGTGTGAATTATTTCAAAGGCAATCACCGATTTTTGGAGACAGCTCGCTTTTGACCTCATTATGATGAAAGTCAAACTGCTGAAGGTTTTTACAGATAATGGCTGACGTGCCATTTATTTTTATTTGCGTCGTGTTAAATTATTGATTGTTTGTCGCACTGGGCAATTAGTAGATGCAATTACATGCACGTATCACTGATGAATTCGATTGAATTCGAGAGGAATTTATTCATTCAATCATCGAGACAAAATTGTTGACGAGTTTGACTTGATAATTTATATTCTATTCATCGATGATTACAAAAGGTTTCTTGCAAAGGGCAGATCACGCAGTGAAAAATTTCAATTGAACTTGAGTACTTGATAAAATTCTTGGATGAATGAACAGAATTTGAGAATTTTTAATGAGATTCTGCACGCGACCGACGAGTTTAGATTCAAATCTCGAGGCGCATGAGTCTCAGCGATTATTATAACCCGTTTAGATTATCAATTCCATTTTTTTTGTATCGCATTCAATGTCGATTGAAACAATGTAATTACTCCCTGATAAACTAAAGTATCTTAAATTGCAGAGATCAAGTCTACAGCAATAATAAATTATGAAGTAATAATCAGTTGATCCTGATTACAAATCACTCTCCGATGCCTTGAACTGCACCAGGAATAACAAATACGTGACCATTGTTCCGGATATCTGAAAGAAGTGACAATAAATTGGAAGGGAGTCGTCATTTTGGATGAATGAAGCAACCGAAAAGCTTCTTACTGTCCGCAATAATGTGCAGTCCAAAGAGAAAAGTCCATAGGGACTGATGTCGACTTTTCTGTGCAGCAACTCAACAGCAAAATTTGTCACCTGAGATTTAATGACTTTGTTCGAAGGAAAGGCCTCTTTGATGTCGTAAAGAACATCCGCTGTCCGATATGCCTGAAACCCAAGTAATTGTTATTGATAATGAGAAGTTATTCATTTTTCTGGTGTTGAATATTGTACATACTTCCACCTGAAATGTCGTGACACTCGCACTCAGCACGACAATTGGATACGAAACCATGAGGATCCAGAAAAGAGACTCAATGAAGACTTCAACAATTTCACTGCCAGTTGCTGGTTTTATGGCGGTCACGATGTAGAAGTAGGAATCGTAAACGATGCAGCAACAGCAGTGGAAAATAGAAACTAGCACTGGAAAGCTGTAGTGCCTGGAGATGTCCTTGAAGACATTGAACATTCGAGTTCTTGCTTGTTTGACCAGGATCAAATGCTCCCCAATCAGACGATCGACGGAAGGATTCCGCTCTTGATGTGAATTCTCGTTGATGATGGGAGTTTTAGTCGCGTCAAGAAGAGTATCGTTGAGCTTTTGGAATCGGTATTGAAGAGCATTGATCATCAGACTGTACTGCAATAATAACCAACTGATGAAGATCTGGCTCAGGCCAGAAGTGATGAGGTAGATGATACCGTTTTTGTACCGGAGTTCCATGATCACTACCGCAGTCCAAATAGCGATCATCACCGCGATCGTGACGAACGTACGAAGAGGATGGAACGAGGAAGTGCTTCCTCCAAGTAGCTTAGCACCGAATCTTCCGTCGAACTCATGCAACTGATCGCCGATTCCGATCATCTGCTTTTGCCAGATCAAACAGAAGATGATGATCATGATAACCGTGCCATTTCCCAATGTTGCCAGGAATATTGTTATCGCTCTGATTATGAAAGAGTCGTTGGGGTATGGTAAGTCCTTCAAATAAGGCAGAGCAAACACCATTATTGCGATGTAAAACATCAGGATCAGAACGCTGTATGCACACTTGAATCGTGAATGGGAAAATGATAATGTGAATCGAATTGGAGGGCTTGATCGAGGCACTATTTTCACTCTGTATGGGGCCAGACCCAGAAGAGATGAGATTGCATGGATTATTTTGTACAGAATAATGCTGATCTTTAGGTTTCGCCCTTGTGACTTCATTCTGCTGAAGGTAATGCCTCAGTGAAGGCTGCAATGGTCTCAACAGTTAGTCGTTGTCATAAATTCTGTCGCCTAATGGATGAAAATAGTTATCAGGTCGAGGATCAGGAAACAGGTGCCTTGCTAACTTCGACATTTGTTCTTTGATGATGATGACATGTACTCTCAAGATCTCTCTATGAATAGTCCCAGAAAAAATTGTCAGGATCAATTATTCATCGAGACATCAATTTTCCTCGTAGAACTAATATGAAGATTTCGATTATTTTCTTTTGCGTCGTATCGATGCATTGAACGCTCGTAAACTTTCTGTTCACAAAACAAAAAGAGTTGACCACATAGTGCAATTTGCTGATTGTTTGGTGATAGTAATCAGTTGCTCCATGCTTTTGGGCTACTCTCCGGTGCTTTGAACTGGACAAGAATCAGCAAATATGTGACGATCGTTCCCAATAACTGAAAGAATACATAAAAAATTCAAAGTCCTCTCACCAGATTGCAAAATTAACATTTTTACCGATCGCAATAACGAGCAGTCCAATGAGAAAAGTCCACAGGCGCTGAAGTCTATTTTTCTGTGCAGCAACTCAACAGCAAAATTATTCAACTCAAGCCCGATCTCTCTATTCGCTGCATACGCCTCCATGATATCATAAACAACATCAACCGTCCGATTCGCCTACAATAACCAAAATAACAATGAACATAAATAATAATAAATGATAAAAACACTTGAATATCCTTGACACCTACTTCGGTCTGAAATCTGTTGACACTCGCACTTAATACAATAATCGGATACAAACTAACAAGAATCCAAAAGAACGAGTCAAAAAAAATATGACAAGCGTCATCTCCCATCGGTTCAACCAGACTCATGATGAAGAAATAGATATCAATGATGCAGCAGCTGCTGCAGTACAGAATGAGAACAAAAACAGGACTGGAGAATAAACCGGAGACATCGAGGAAAACTTTGTAGATCTGATTTCTTGCTCGTTTGATCATCAGAAGATTGGTAACAACCCGACGATCATTCAAAGCACTTGCTCGAATCAATGAACCGTCTTTGGAGAATATTCGATAGGTAGCTGTTGCGATGAGAGTGTTATTGAGCCGTTGAAATCGAAATCTGATAGCATCGATGATAACACTGCAATGAACTAATGACCAACTGACGAAAACAGCAGACAAACCGCAATCGATGAGATAGATCACTCCATTTTCACTCTGTACTTCCACAATCACGAGTCCAGTCCAGATGATCAGCATGAGTCCAATTGACACGCATGTTGATAGATAATCCAGGAGATTAGCACTTGTTCCGAACAGCTGAGTGCCAAATCTTTCATCGAACTCTCGCAGTTCATCGCTGATTTTGACCATGTCCGTTTGAAAGAACAAGCAGAAAGCGATTATGATGATGGCTGTCGTGTTTCCAACGATTGAGAGACCGAATGTTGCCGTTCTGATTATTGATGACTCGTTGGGGTATTCTATGTCGTTCAAACGGGGTGTGCCGATAAAAAGTATTGATAGATACAGTGTTATGAGTAGAATACTGTACGCGCATTTCCATCGCGAATGGGTGATTGAGTGAGGCGTTATTTTTAATCTGCAGGGCAATAAACCGAGGAGGGATGAGATTATTTGGGGTATTTGGAATATTATTGAAGGGGTTTTTACAATCACTTTGGTCTTCATTCGGCTGAAGGGATTTGGCGAATGCTGTGATGCTCACGAACGTTTGACGCTTGCATATACATTCTCTGATCGATTTACCGTTATCATGACAAGAATCAGAAAGAGGAGTGTCGGGGCATATTGAATAGGCGAGAATTGAAGAGATTGTTCGTGGTAAATTAATTTTGGAAAATGAATGTTGACGATCATTTGGTCATCAACTCTGAACGTCATTGCGTAATCATGATCTGGTGATCATTTGCTCGGGCTACTTCCGGACGCATCAAACTGCATGACGATTAACAAGTCCTATGCAGTTTTGAACTGCACGAGAATCAACAAGTACGTGACGATCGTTCCGAATATCTGAAATAAAAAATTGAAGATTGATCTGCAGTTCTCGTTTGGATAAATAAATGAAAGATCTTACTGAAATCAACAGCGAACAATCCAACGTAAAAAGCCCACAAGCTGTAAACTCAGATTTTCGGTGCAGCAACTCAACAGAGAATATGTTCAACTCATTTTCGATCTCCCTGTTGGGCTGATAGTTCTCCATGATATCATAAATAATAGCTGCAGTTCGATCAACCTGAAGTCAAAAAATAAAAAGAACCAATTCAAAAGATTAAATCCAAAACAATGTATTCGATGGAAGTGACCGAATAGATGAAGTGACGAATGCAGGGAATAATTATTAAATAACAATTATAAATAATTATTGAAATAACTCTGGAGGTACCTCTCTGTAGAATCTGTTGACACTTGCGGTCAAAATGATGACTGGGTACAGGACAACAACGATCGCGAAGAAGAAATAGTTGAACTCTTGGATGTCGAACTTCATGTCCATTGGAGTCATGATATTTATTATGTAGATATAAATGACCTTGATAGAGCTGCAGCTGCTGTAGAAGATAGCGGGGAGAACCGGGAATGAGTAGAAATTGGAAAGATCGAGGAAGATTTTGTAGAGGGAATTCCTTGCTCGTTTGACCATCATCAGGTTATCGACAATCAGACGATCGCTCAAGGCAGTTCGCTGGAGTAATGAGTCGGATTTGGAGAGAATTGGATAGGTAGCTGTGGCAAGGATGGCCTTGTTGAGACCTTGGAATCGGTATTTGAGATTATTGATGAAAAAGCTGTACTGCATTAGTAACCAGCTTGTCACAATGTCGCAGAGACAGCAGGTGATGATGTAGTCTAGGCCGGATTCCTCCAATAGCTCCATCACCATCAATCCTATCCAAATGGCAAGCATCAGGCCAGCTGTGATGAATGTTGAGAGATTATGCAGCAGCTCAGAACTTATTCCAATGAGTTTAGCACCGAATCTGTCATCGAAATTCTGCAACTGATTGCCGATGATGATTATGTCCTCTCGGTAGATCAGGTGGAAGAGGATTATCACGATGACACTGATATTTCCTGTGATTGAAATTCCTAATGTTATCGTTCGCATCTTGGAGGAGTCGTTGGGGTATGATACGTCGTTCAAACGAGGCAGGGCAAACACCATTATTGTGATGTAAAACATCAGGATCAGAACGCTGCATGCACACTTGAATCGTGAATGGGAAAATGATAATGTGAATCGAATTGGCGGGCTTGATCGAGGCACTATTTTCACTCTGTATGGGGCTAGACCCAGAAGAGATGAGATTGCATGGATTATTTTGTACAGAATAATGCTGATCTTTAGGCTTCGCCCTTGTGACTTCATTCTGCTGAAGGTAATGCCTCAGTGAAGGCTGCAATGGTCTCAACAGTTAGTCGTTGTCATAAATTCTGTTGCCTAATGGATGAAAATAGTTATCAGGTCGAGGATCAGGAAACAGGTGCCTTGCTAACTTCGGCATTTGTTCTTTGATGATGATGACATGTACTCTCAAGATCTCTCTATGAATAGTCCCAGAAAAAATTGTCAGGATCAATTATTCATCGAGACATCAATTTTCCTCGTGGAACTAATATGGAGATGTCGATTATTTTCATTTGTGTCGTATTGATGTATCGATTGATCGTTAAATGTCTATTCAGAATAGCCACTCAGATTTTATGGGGGATAATGGATTTTTTAGTGTTTTTCCGGTTGACCCATTGATTTCTCCATAAATTCTGAATGCGCAATGATCTGATCATTTGCTTGTGCTAATTCCAGGCCGGTCAAACTGCATAACGATTAATAAATACGTCAGGATCGTTCCACATATCTGGAATAACAAATTGACAATTGAATTGGAGCGATCGGCAGTGGCAGATGAAAAAAATCGGGGATTCCTTACTGAACTCAATAGTGTACAGTCCAACGAAAAAATTCCACAGGCAGTGAATTCCATTTTTCTGTGCAGCAACTCAACAGCAAAAATGTGGAGCTCAGACTGAATATCTCGGTTTGTCCGATAGGCTTCCATGATATCGTAAACAGCAGCAGCAGTTCGCTTCACCTGAAATCCGAAAGACGCCAGATTATTCCAAAGAATCTCTACCGATTTACCCTTACATTATTTTTTTTTTAATCCAAATACACACTTCTGCCTGCAATCGGTTGATACTTTTACTCAATATTAAAATCGGATATGCATTCACAGATACCCAGAAGAACGTGTGATCAGTGAAGTTTCCAACGGCAAAAGCAGTCTCCGGATACATGAGAATCGTCACGTGGAAGTGAATGGCATCAACAGAGCTGCAGCAGTGATAGAAAATTCCGAGTAAAGCTGGGAAGGAGTGGAACTTGGAGACACTCTGAGAAAGTTTATAAACAGAGTTCCACGCTCGTTGGATCATTATCAGATGTTCGACAATCAGACGAGCACTGGAGACCCTCTGCTGTGAGCATGAGCTGTCCGTGATGAACATTGAATATTTAGCTGTGACGAGAAGAGATTCGTTGAGTCTCTGGATCCGATCCTTGAGGACATCGACGATTAAGCTGTACTGCACTAGAAACCAACTGACGAACAGCTTGTTCACACCATAAGCGATGAGAAAGCTCATATCATCCGCGTATCTTCTTTCCGTTATCGTCATTCCAATCCAAATGATCAACATCACCACAGGCCGGACAACTATCGACAGATAATCCATCAAATTAACTGTTCTTCCTACCAGTTTATCACCGAATTGATGGTCGAACTCGTGCAACTGGTTGCCGGCTCTTATGATGTCCCGTTGGTAGATCATATAGAAGATGATCATCATTGTGGCTGTGGTATTTCCCATTGTTGAAAGTCCTAATGCGATTATTCTGACCAACGGCAAGAAATTATTCATTAGTGCATCCAAGTGAGGCATGCTAACAGCAAAAATATGGATGAAGAATATCGTGAGGAGAATGCTCCACCCCAATTTCAATCTTGAATGCGATAATTGGAAGGTAAATTCCATTGGAGAGACAGATTGCTGCAGTATTTTCACTTTGCACGGCGAAAAACCCAGGAGAGTCGATATTATTCCAGCTGCTTGGAACATGATGAGGATTTTTAGCAAGTCTCTTTTTTTTACTGCATTCTGCTGAAGGCTGGAGTTTTGTGGAGGTTCTGATGTCCTTGGCTGGTGGACGGAGTCGTAAATTCGGTCACCTAATGGATGAACACTTTTATCAGGACGAGGATCAGGTAATTTTCCAGGGATTATACTCACATAAATGATTATTTCCGCTTTCTTTCTATTAGCAGAATGACATGCGACGACTTTTTCCTGTAATAAAACGAGCCATCATATCTAAAACGACAATCATAACTCAGTAATTTCAAATAACCGCGGGGCGCCGGTGCATCGGAATAACTGGGGAAATCCCCAGAATTCCCCACACGAATTGAAAACCGTACGAGAAAAAAAAAATGCTGTATCGTCCTGATAACCATGAAAACACAGTGAGAACATGAATTCAATGATGTGGACGAATTCACAAATTAGATAACAGAGTTTAACGTGGCGACATGAAACGTCTGTCGTATTTTGTGTTTCAGTGACAATCGAATGAACGAAGTGAATTCAAAAAATTTATATTAATAGATTAAAAAAAACACTAAGACAATGGCATTCAGACCTCTGAGACAGGAGTACCTGCAGATGCCAGTGGTGACGAGGGCATACACCACTGCATGTGTCCTCACCACCCTTGCAGTGGTTTGTCATCAATTTGTTTAAAAAATTATATTAAAATACTATATCAACTAGAACAACACCACCAAGGACCTCCACTCAATTATCATTATAAAAGATACCTCAATTATTTATGATACATTAATTATTAATTATAATTTCTCCTTTTGATTTCTCGTTTCAGCAATTAGATCTCGTCTCACCTTTTCAACTTTATTTCAATCCCATTTTGATTGTTCATCAGTACCAGGTGAGGATTTCTGATGATTTTTAAATTAACGCGCAATTCGTGGGAGGGTTTTAATTAATTTTCTATTGTTGCAGTTCTGGAGATTAATTACGACGTTTTTGTACTTTGGAACGGTCGGTTTCAATTTCTTTTTCAATATGATATTCACTTATAGATATTGTAGAATGCTGGAGGAGGGTCCATTTAGGGGTAAAACGGCGGATTTTGTAATGATGTTTATATTTGGTGGTGTCAGTATGATAGTATCCTTTTACAACGTAATTATTTATTTATATTCCTCGCAAAATCAACGAGTGGAGAGCAATATGCAAGCAACTTGGCAAATATCTCTGAATCTGATAAAACTAGAAAATTTTTGTTATGACCTTTTTTATTCCTCTCATTTCAATCTACAAAAAAGATTCCGAGAGAAATTTTGATATTTCTATTAGATTCGGAGATATTCCCGAAAATCTTGTATTATCTTTTATTAAATTAGTAATAATGAGACAAATTGCGGATTTTTCTTATGAATATTTCAAGATTTTTGCATTTTTTGTTAATCTACTTTTCCTGGGGCACGCGTTTACCCTGATGCTGGTGTACGTGTGGTCGAGGAGAACTCCATTCGTCAGGATGAATTTTTTCGGGCTATTGAATTTCAACGTGAGTATTTATTAGTAATTCGTGCAATTGAAAGGGATTATTAATTGTTTATGAATTTTCCAGGCCCCGTTGTTGCCGTGGGTACTCCTGGGTTTCTCTGTACTCCTGGGGAACGCAGTATGGGTCGACCTCATAGGGATGGCTGTCGGCCACATGTATTATTTCGTCGAGGATGTCTTTCCAAACCAAAGAGGGGGTTTCCGAATTCTAAAAACCCCACAAATACTGTAAGAATTCCATTCAATCGGTTTTTCAATTCTCTGGAGTAAAAACCCAAGTGGAATTCAATTTCAATATTTTATTTTCGATAATTCAATAAAATTCTCAAATTTAAATCCAGAAATTTTGGATTTTCAGAAAGAAACTTTTTGATGAGCCGCCGGTGGATTCAAATTACGTGCCACTTCCGGAGGATCGACCTGGGGGATTCAACTGGGGTCAGGATGGGGACATCCAGTAAAAAACATTCCTCATGTGTTTTTTTTTTCACGGGTGAGGGTAAAAAATTCATCCTTCAGACAATTATCTGATGTCTGGATACCGGACTGTCGAGAATATTTTGACTGCACGATAAACATCGCACATTAAAGTTTAAACAAATGGATTTTTTAAATTTGTGCTTGTAAATAAGAGATAGATGAATCATATTATTACTGTCATTGGGGTAATGATTACCGGAATGTATTTACGAGGAAATAAACTGAAACAATAAGGAAAACAAATCAAATATTTTTTTAAAATCGTTAATTCATTTTGTGGAACTCTTTTGATTTATTGGTTTGACTATTTTTATTGATCAGACATAATTAACAATTTTTTTTGGTATTTTCATTTCTAGGTTTTCTTCAACATTTCTGTCGTCGCTAAAAATGTCCTCAGCTCGTCCTCGAGGCAGTGTCTATCGATTTTTATCAATTATCCTTCATTAATCCTCGCCGAAAATGAAAATCACCTTCAAAAATCCTTTCTACGATGCGAAATGAATTTTTCGATGATCAAAAACCGTGAAATTCAATCCCAAAAAAAAATTCCGACACAGAAAAAAAATCATTCGTTCCATTTTCATACGCCTCAGGGTATGAAATACCTCAAATCCTCGAAAGACAATAAAAAATAAAAATTCCAGACACAATTAAAATAAGAGTTGATTTTTTAAAAGACGAAAGACAATTTTGGAAATACCACTGAATTTTATATCAACAATATGGTGCACCTCAGAACATCGCAGAAAAAAAAACATTACACTTAATGCATGAAATGATATAATACAATGATCAATGGCTGAATGAGAGAAAATAATAATTATGGAGTAATTATCTATTGTACAGGCTTCTAGGTTGATTAAATGGCCACTGTAGCTAGCAGCACCGTGATGTCATCTGGTTTTCCACCTGTAATTGTTGAATAAGATATTAACAATATAATACGACTGGACTGGACAAAATAATAAATTACCGATGGCATCGATTCCATTTTCTCTAGCACTCTGTGCAAAAGGTGACATGAAGGCACCATCGAACGCGAGACTGCGTGCCATCCAAGCAATTGTATTAGCCACACCCTGGATCTTCGTTGGATCCCTCTCCCCCTCGACTTTCCTCATCTCCGTGACTAGTAATTGATCCGGTACATTATCGAAAACACCATCAGTCGCTAGGAGAATCACATCGCCGTTTTCAACTCCAAAACTGGAAGTGTCAGCTGATTCAGGACTGCAAATAAAATAATTACATTAAATTAAAATCACAATTACTACACTAAATAATCACGAGGGACTCCAAGAATAGATTAATTGATTAATTATTGATTGAAATATTATATACACTGATGATTTTATTAATTTGTTTTATTATCTTTGATCAGAAAATTAAAAAATCCGGAGTTTGAAGGGAGAAAAATGAAAAAAAAATGTGTTTTTTAATGAAAATAAATGATACTTTAATTACCTGTCGCTCAGGACATGCCCTGAATGTCCTGGAGGTGGCAAAGAAAGTTGAAATGGAGTATTGAAGTAATGCTGCTGCTCCGAAGACCGATGAACAACTTCTCCTTTTCTCACAATGACAAAACCACTGTCTCCAATATTCGCTGCATAAATACTGCTCGTTTCTTTATTCAAAACAATAACACAAGCAGTACTGCTTCCTAAAAAATAAAAACAGATATTTCAGGGATGAAATTGTGATTTTTTGGATGAAATCCAGAGGATCTGAGGGAAAAAATCGATTTATCTGGGGAAAAAACGAGAAAAAAATATGAAAAATTCTGTTTATTTGATAGCTTATTGATTATGTAATGGATTATTAATAGAATAAATGTTCTCACCTAGAATTGGTTGTTTGTTCTCTAATAGTTCGTAATAACTTCGGGCTAATAATCCAGCGGGTTCTGATGGTACGAATCGACCCATTGAGACTAGTCGCTCACAAGTTCTCATCAGGAAGCTGGAGAATTCGCCTGGATCGATGCCGTAGTGCCTCCATCCACCGACACCATCGGCAACACCTGGAGGCAATAACAGTTTTTTCAATGGATCGATCAAATCAATGGACAAAAGCAAAAAGTTAACATCCCATTCAGCAGATGTAAAATTAGACTAGAGATGGTCCCGAGGTGCTGACTATTCCTGGCAGAATTCCCATTTACTCGAACCCGTGCCATATGTTATGTCACATGATTTTGAAAATTCATTTTTTGAATTTATTCATCGCATTTTGGAATTTTTAAATTTTTTTTACTTGTAAAAAATTGTTAAAACACATCGTGCATTTTTTTCGAACGATTTTTGGGGAATACCTCGGGATTGGGAGGAGATAGCGGAATTTTTGGGGAGAGACTTTTTGTGGAGAATTGTTAGAGCTACAAAAAAGGTTATTATGAAAATAT